AAACACGCGTACTTGTAAGTTGTAATGTTATTATTAGGCCTATACATACGATTGTTAACAACCAGTTTGTGGAGGTCATTAAATTCTAAGAACAGGTTCGCACGAACCAGTTGAATCCCACCACTGGATTGTAAAATTCATAGTCACCATATAATCATGGCCGACCACATGCCCCTTTCCCCTACTCTAGCCTGTCGCATTTTTGAATGTAAAGATAGCATCTGTCTATGCATGCGTGCCAGATGTATGTTCAAGGTCTTTGATAGTTTTTGCAACTCATCCATCTGCAGGCTGTTCAGTTATAGCATTGATTTTACGGACCTAAACATTTAATTTTTTCTGCTACAATATTCATACATCTAACATTAACACTCCTATCAAACAATCTTTCACAATTACCAAAGTCTACTGTTTGGTGAGTAGAAAAATCATAGACAAAACATTGTTACTGACTAAGAAAAACAAACATAAGCATTAAGATATAATATGGCACAAAAATACAAGAAAAAAAACTGAAAGCCAAAATAATACAAAATAAAAATCATTTTCAAGAAGAGATGAATTAACAGATGTTCAATGAGAACACTCAACAGTATATAAATTTGATATTGTTTTAGTTGTTAGAGTAACTAAATTTGAAAAGTATCTTTCCTAATTATAAGAGAGAAGTAGCTAAGGCTAATACGGTTTTATAAGCTTAACCTATCTTGTGAATCTTTGTAATCTAAAATTACAAAATTTATTAATATAAAATCTTTACAAATTAGAGAAGAAACACAAAATGAGACCTTATTAAAATAAAGATAAGATCTTATACAAAAGTATCACAATCTATTTTGACATTTAAGAAGCAAATGCTACATAATAACTTATTTATATTTTCATGAACACAGTCTAAAATTATTACATCCATTCCATACCAATCTAAGGGGTCATTCTTCATTCGTAGATTGTCTCGAGGAAAGTAGCCCGGGGGATAGCGAAGGTTGTGATACTGATCCCACAAGACTCGTTTACTGTAACAAAATACTGATCCATTACATTTACAGCAAACTAATGGGGGAAAAAGTATATTTACAAGCAATCGCCTTTAACAGTGTCACAGTTCAAAATCATTAAATATTAGCAAAAAATAGCTAATATAGACCTTTATTTATTATAACAGATATGAGTGCCAATACTGTAACACCAAAAACAAACGTAGCTAAAGAGTAGTTATGTAAGAAACACAACAATAGTTAAAATATGTAAAAGAAGGAGAAAAGAATTTGTCAACACTTCAGCCAATAATAATATGGGTTCTAACACAGCTTGTTTGACTCAAATCTTAATCACAGCTTTCTTATTTTACAGCTAATTTAATCCTTTTTTTGTATTTTCAATGCTGAACCTGTGAAGCATTCTTATTCTATTCTCTTATCACAAATTACACATGTAAACAATTTAAAAAAAATTAATAATGAGGTAAACATTTAGGGTTTAATTCCACAACAATGGACTGAAGAGGACATGAAAGGTCGAAACTAGTTTCCATTTAAATTTGGTATAGTTACATTAGTGTGGCTTTAAAATTTATTGTAACTTACTTTACATGGTATTGTGTATTTAACTATTATTTAGGAATAAACTCCATACAAAGCAGATTTCTATTTTGACATTTCATAACTAAAGTATTAACACTCATCAAGATAAAAAAAAAGTTTGGTTTTCCATTCTATGTCTTAGAGTGAAAATAAAGGACTAGAAGCATGCAAAAACATTTTAACAAACTTATTTTAACAAAATTATTAGTATGATAACCTAAGAACACACAGAATACAGAAAAATAGAATGATACTATGATTTCTTATAATAAATATATTTCCTTTATATGCAAGTTTTCAATTTTTAATCAAAATATCTAATATTTTCTGACTGTTTAAAACACATTGCAAAACAAAAAGAGCTTTTCGTAAACTGTCCGTTAGAACCTGGCTTTAGTTTTATAACCAACATAAGTTATTCACTTTTACCTGTAGGAAAAGATTGCTGAAGAATATGCATGTTTTGGTTTGCATTTTATCATCGTGTAAGTGCTCTGGAGAAGTGTTCAGTTATTCTTTTTTAGTCAAGTGCCTGGATAAAGTTTTGTAAGTGAACAATTTTAACTTCATATGTAAAAAGACAATTGTTCAAGCTATAATCATAATTGATAAAAGAGGAACTGCTGTTATCATGCTAACAATGACAAGATTTAAAAAACCAAAAACGAACTTACCTACGAGGGGGAGTTGGTATTATTTTCACTTTGATAGGCAACTTTAGTGACGACACTCTTACTTCTGTCTCTCCATCCTAAATGTAAAAAAACAAGTCATTTGCAACAAAAACGTACAACAGCAATTACTTACTTCACTCAATTCAATGAGTAAATAACAAGGTTGGAAAAAAGGTGTCAGTAAAAGGTATGACACATGTAGTTTTTGATTGTATCTTTAATTTACATTTTTGTTTTCAGTGTCACTTCTAAACCAGTGTAGCTCTCAAACGCCACTTATTACTTAATATTGAAAAGGCAGCTGAATAAATTAATGTTTTAAATCACAAACACAACAGTACATCAGAAATTGTGTATGTATATAGTGTCTTTACTTGATATATGAATACTTGTACACTGTTACATGGCAGATATAGTTAAAAAATATATCAGTTTTAGAAATCTGGATATTAACTAAAATAAATATTTCAACTTAACAATTACAAAAACACTTTCACCAATGTATAAAACATTTGAGAATTGTGGGAAAAACAAATTCAAGAAATTTTCTTCCTCGTGACTGAAGCTTTTCGTAAATATTACTCATGAAAAAAATTGCAAGATGAAAAAGTGTTGCTGCTCAATAGTTATGTTAATGTCACGAAGTTCAATACATGAACCATTCTTGAACTTTTCTGTTATGACCAAAAACCTTAATAGCAAGGTTATATGAACAATGGTCATAAACTGAAATTGGCATCATTTAATCATTATGGCAACTTAAGGGATATACTACTTTTCATGACATATTAGGCAGCTCTGTACACAAGATAATCCAATCATTTAAAACAATAACAATGATTGCTTTCAATAAAATCAAATAAAAATTACCTCTGGGGGGGATTCTACGATGAGTGAAACATGGCCTTGGGCTATTCCTTCCCATGAATAAGCTGTCTTTGCTACTGACAGGTGGAGAGCTAGATATCCTGACCAAGGCCATAAAACTTCAGGGTATGAGAAGGCCAGCTCTAGGTGGTGTCCATACTGGGGTGTGTAAGGATGCCATATTGGCTAAAATGTGAATAAAAGTAGGAATAACACACATTTTACTTAGTTTCATCAGACTTAAGGCTTTCTTACATATAATCAGATTGATGTTAAAGTGTATAATAAAAAACAAAAATGAACCTAAGACAGTGTTCAATCACCACAACATAAAAGTATTTTCTTAAATCTCACCTTACAAGCTATTAAATAGTACTGATATACTATCTTTCATGCAAAATAGCATTTCCTTGATATATATTATATATAAAAGTATATTTTTAACTACAAATCATTCTGACACTGCTTTAATTATTATTTTTATTGTATGTGTCACAGAATAATAACGACCACAAGTGTGCCAGAAGTATTTGTTGGTCTCTACAATTTTCAGTGAAAATAATTAAATCTCTCAACACGGCTCGGTTAATTTAACCAACCACGTGGCCTCTTTGTACTTGTTTAAAGTCTTTATAGATTTAATACTTCTAGCTTTGAATACAGAGTGGATATCTTCACAAAATTTGGCAGCCTTTCAGTTAATATTGTAAGTCTTTCACATACAAAAAATCACATTTTTTAGTGAAGTATTTTTCATAAAATAAAATAAAGATTTGTCCACGAATATATTGAGTATTTGCTTTGAATAGTTCATATGCAAAGTAATTTTCATGTTAAAATTAAAAACCCTTTTTCTCATCTCAAAAATTTCAGATTTCCTTTGTGTAATCCTGAAAACCTTCTAAATGCATTTCAAACGTTTTTTTCAGTAAAACTTCATAGTTTATTTGTTATTTTCTCCACCCTATCTCAAAATGGAATTTAATCAATTCGACTGACTTCGTAACCACCAAATAAAAAACAAAAAAACGAAATAAACCTAAATTACTCTTCTTTTTCTTTCTAGAATGACTTCAAATTGTAACATGAAACTACATTTGTTTATCCTGAGTAAAAGGAAAAGTTCGTAACAGTATACATCTATTTATAA